GTGGGAATGGGGGAGTCTGGAGGAGGGCGGAGGGACACAGGGTGGGTTGGGGCCGCCTTCCCAATCTGGACCCCTATGCTCTGCCACACCCCCACCACATCAGAAGTGCCCCCTTCCCCCTACTCCCACACTTCTCACCCATCTCTGGCCATAGCTAACTCTGCTCTCATGAGACATTGCAAATCCCAGTAAAAAGTGTCTAAATCTGTAACCTCTGTGGAAAACAGTGTAGCGATTCCTAAAAAATCTAACAATCTGCCTTCCATATGACCCAGCAATCCCCCTTCTGGGAATATACCCAGAGGAACTCAGATCATGTATGTGCAGAAAAAGATATCTGCACATACATGTTTATTGCTGCATTATTCACAACAGCAAAAACTTGGAACCAACTGTGCTGCCCATAAAAAGTAGACTGTATAAAGAAAATGTGGTATATATACACGATGGAATATTACGCAGCCATAAAGAAAAACAAAATTATGAACTTTGCAGGAACTTGGATGGATTCTGAGTCTATAATACTCAGTGATCTAACATAGAAACAAAGATCTGAGTACCGCATGTACTCACTTTTAAGCTGATCCTGAACATTTATCATAATACTATAACAGATTGGCAGTAGTGGGACACTGCCATGGAATGGGGCCATAATAAGGGTACCCGATCTCAAACCAGGTGAAGTGGGGACCAAAGGAATGCCCAAACTTTACCTGTATGATGACCACTTGTATACCTAAATCTGAATTGTACCCCACATCTTTAAAATTAAAAAAAAATGGCCAAGTGCGGTGACTTATGCCTGTAATCCCAGCACTTTGGGAGACTGAGGCAAGAGGATTGCCTGCGTCTAGGGGTTCAAGACCAGCCTGGGCAATTTGGCGAGACCTAGTCTCTAAAAAAAAAAAAAAATTAGCCAGGTGAGGTGGCATGTGCCTTTGGTTCCAGCTACTTGGAAGGCTGAAGCAGAAGGATCGCCTGAGCCCAGCGGGCCAAGGGTGCAGTGGCTGAGTATGCCACTGCACTCCACCCTGGGTGACAGAGCAAGACTCCTACTCAAAAACACACACACACACACACACACACACACACACCTATATATATAACAGCAAAAAAATGGTGTCTAACTCTGTCAAGATCCCTTCTGCCATGGCCTCAGTGACTGTTCCCTGTTAGAACCCCTGTGGCTCTGCACTGGTGTTTAGAATACACAGCCCTGTCAGTGCATGATGTGTCCCAGCCTCCCCTACTAAGAAAGCCCCATCCACCGAGTGCTTACTGTATAACCACGAGAGCAGAAGTAGCTTGAGAGCAGAGTCTGAGTGTCCATCTTGGAGTCTGGCTGCAGGCAGCGAGGGGCCCATGGCCCCACCCCAAAGCTGCAATGTGTTAGCCGGTGTCCCTGGCTTTCCCCCAACATATCTCATTTGTAAAATGGGCACGACTATACGTTTTCCTGACAGGGTTGTGGTGGGGACTACACCAGTTGTTTGGGAGAATGCTCACGCATTGTGAGTGCTAGCTGTGATCACTGCTGCAGATGATGAACACATGTTGCCGACGGTCTGCAACCCACGAGTGCCTGGAATCTCAGAAATCCCCTTAAGTCTACAAGGAGTTTCTCTTACTTCCTTTGACTGTAAATGATCTCCGGAATAATGAGGTATGGGAGTACAGGGTGAGACTTTCCAGAAAGAGAAACTGAGGCTCAGCTAGTGAGAACGATTCTATCAGATTTCTTAGAATTTGAGATTTGTGAGGAAGGTGAGTCAGAGCTTGGGTTAGCCCCTGCTTCCTCTCCACAGGAAATCCCTTCTTGGGTCATGATTCTGGAATCTTCTTGTTCTGCCAGCCGGGGCAATCTGATCTTCCATTCACTCAGGTCAGATGAGGAGAGACAGGAGTCTGCTCTGCTTGTTGCATATTCCATTCTGGGGCCTGTTCCTGCCAGGTGAGACTTGATACCAGACTTCCACTGCTGGAGCTTGAGTTAGGCAATGTCCCTGGCAGGATCCCCCAAGCAGGATCCAAAATCCAACTCCCTGGTATTTCTAGTTCCGACTCCTTGGAAAGAACCCTATCCGGATCTTCATAGCACCTTCTCCAATCCCGCAGGCACGTGTGATACCCACAGCCTCAGGGCTGCTGAGGGGTCTCGCTGCCTTTTTCTTAACTCTTGCGTGATCCGAGCCTACGTATTCCTTCTACACAACTACACACAAGGACTTTAGCAAACAGTGTCTCCCTGGCATTGACATCACCTGCCTACCACGGGCAGGAGAAGGGATTTGAACTTTTAGACCATACCAGAGGGTGAACAGAATGTCTGAGCTTTTTTTCTGCTTCTGTATTAAATAACAACGTCTATGACAATAATAAAATGCCACCGAAATGGGGACTGACTGGGAATGCAGATGGGGAATGAGAATTTCTCATTGAGATTGAGGATTTCCTCTGTATCTCCTATTTGTAGGACAAAGAGTTATTGAAGTTGAAGACAAAGGGAAAAATCATTGTTACCATGAGTCAAAAGGGATGTATAATCCCATTTAAAATCTTTACAACAACAGGAGGTAGGAACTATTACTATGACTGAGCTTGGGTTAGGTAACCCGCTCAAGGTCATGGAACTAAGAGGAAACAGCCGGGGTTTTAACCCAGGCAGTGTGACTCCAAAGCCTCAGCTCTGTTAACCAGAATGCATAATTGTATCTTAGATCAACCGGTCCAATTCCTTGACAGTCAGCTAAAGAAACTGGAACTCAGGCACACAGAGGTAGTGTGGTCTGTTTTGGACCCCCAGCTGGTAAGTGGCAGAGAAAGGATTAGAATTCAGATTCCTCTTCCAATCATGCCTGTCTGGTGGCAGTCTGCCTATATGTCCTCCGTACACCTGCCCTGGGAACATGGCAGCTCTGGTCCAGGCTTCCCACGACTAACAAACAACATGATACAAATAAGAGGAGAAGATGAGGCAGGAATACCCTTTCACCTGCCTGCGTGCCCTACCCAGACCTCTTTACACCCTGAATTCTCCAGTCACTTTAGTCCTGTGTCTCCAGGAAACCACATTCTACTTGCTGGCCCCTGAGAGGTTGGGCAATCGGGCTCCAGTGTCCCCTACCTTCCCCTTCCTACACCTAAGACTTATGAGCAAGGTTCTGGAGTTCCCTTCTCTTCCAGTCTTCACAGGGCAGTGTGAATGTTTCCCCTGCTTCACGGAACATCTGGCCAGATGCTAAGCCCAGGCCACATGGAAGCCTGGCTCCCAGCCTTCCTCCTTGCCTAGGAGTCCATTGGGGTGATTCACCTGATGAGGCCTACGGCCCAAAGCAGATAGCACAGCTGGGGAGGGGGGCCACAGCAGAGGCTGGAGGCAAGCTCCCAAGATGGGAGGTTTCTACAAAGCTCCTTCTCCTAGGTGCATTAGTTTTCCTGGTGGCTCACCAGGAGCAAGCCACCAGGAAAACTAGTGCATCCAGAATTCAGGGCCAGGATGTGGGCCACACAGAGGGTATGGCAACTAGGCTGGGGAGATAGTGTTTGCCAAAGTTCTTTTTTTTTTTAATTTTAATTTTAAAGATGTGGGGTACAATTCAGGGTTAGGTATACAAAAGGTCATCGTATAGGTAAAGTTTGGGCCTCGCTTTGGTCCCCATCTCACCTGGTTTGAGATCAGATACTCTTATCGATGAAGTGTGCTCCCCCTCCCCTGGCAGTTTCCCACTACTGTCAATCCCTTTCTTACAGTATGATAATTGTTCAGGGTCTGCTTATGAGTGAGAACATGGGGTTCTCGGGTTTTTGTTTCTGTGATAGATCACTGAGTATTATAGACTCTAAGTCCATCCAAGTTGCTGCAAAGTTAATAATTTTGTCCTTCCAAAGTTCTTGTCTCCAGTTGTATATGAGGGATAGGCAGGCTCTGGGATAGCACGACAGTTAGGGACAAAAGCTCTGAAGCCAGCATTACCCATGTTCATATCCTGAGACTTTGCTACTACTAACCATCCAAACTTGGGAGAATTTACTTAACCTCTCTACACCTTAGTTTCCACATTCCTTAGTTGCAAGGAATAAACGAGTGAAAGGTCTCAGAACTAAGTGGGTTGAACGCTTCGTTTGCTGCAATTCTGGGCCCTATGTTTGCCTTGCACCAACTTTAATCTACTCCAGAAATCTGCTCCAAAGAGGCAGGAG